ACACAAACATACATTCAGGCAAAACACCCACATATATAAAATAAGCATATGAAATTTGAAAAACTAAAAAATAATGTAATCAATATGTCTTAGGTCATATAACTAGAATAATACTCCAAGGATATTGATAATCTTATATTTTTGTAATTATTGTGAATTGAGAAAGATTAAAAATAAATGAGCCTATTAACCAACTCAAGAATTACAAAAATAAGAAAAAATATAATGGCCATAGAAAGAAGGACTTGACAAATTATAAACTACTAATAAATCGGAAATCAAAATGGAATTGAAAACTAGATGCATGGTCATATTCTTTCTCAAATTACAACATGAATAGGTAAATCTCTGTCAAGTTCAATGGAAAACAAGAAAAACTGATACACAAAGTAAAAAGCACAAACAGGATATATTACTTAGGCCTTGTGGTGCTGATCTGTAATTCCAGTTACTTAGGAGGCTGAGGCAATAGGAATGAAAGTTCAAGGACTGAATGGTTTACATAATGAGTTCAAGGCCAACCTGGACAATTTAGTGAGACCCTGTTCAAATTAAAAATAAATGTAAAAAAGGAAAAAGAGAGGCCATACACTTTTAATGCTAGCACCCAGGAGGCAAAGGCCGGTGGATTTCTGTAAGTTCAAGACCCCCCTGGTCTACATAGTGAGTTCCAGGCCAGCCAGAGCTACATAAATAAATAAATAAATAAATAAATAAATAAATATGAAATTTGAAAAAAAGGAGATAGAATAGAGCTCAGTGGCAGAAACATAAGAAAGTGTTAGAAGTTTTTCTTTTCGTTTTCAAGATGATGTTGTAAGGGCAAAGAGGAAAGTATTTTAAGCCTTGCTAATTGAGAACATGATTTACAAAGAAAATAAGCAAAAAACAAAAGAAAACAAACCCTATTGGGGAGAGAGACTGAAGAGGTGGCTTGCAGTTAAAAGTGCTCTTGCAGAGCACCAGAGTTAGGTTCCAGTGCCCAGATCTGATTACGTAAAATTGCCTTAACACCAGATCCAAGAGAGCTCTAATTTGTTCTCCTTGGGTACTTGCTCTCAGGTGTGTACACCCACACACAGCCACATGCAGGAAACATTGTTACAAATAAAATAAATTATTTTAAAAGTACTATAGGGCAAACTATCAATGCTAAAGTTGAAGTTAAAATCACAGTTTGTTTATGAGTTTAAATAATGTTCCAGGTAGGTGGCACCTTTAATCCCAGCACTCAGGAGGCAGAGGTAGGTGGATCTCTTTGAGTTCAAGAGCAGCCTGGTATACACAGTGAGTTCCAAGACAGTTAGGGCTATGTAGAGAGACCCTGTCTCGAAAACAAAGACCCATTTTGCTGGATGTGACAGCATACACCTTTATGCTTTTAATCCCAGCACTCAGGAAGCCGAGGCAGGTGGATCTCTATGAGTTCAAGGGGCTAGCCTGGTCTACAAAGTGAGTTCCAGGACAGCCAGTGATATATAGTGAGACCCTGTTTAAAAAAACAACCAAACAACCAAACAAAAAAGAGTTTAAATAATTCAAAGTAATTTATTAATACAGCAGCTGATTTAACCCTATGATCATAACAGGTTTATAGATAATGAAAAGGCAGCTGATTAAAATGTAATGTCAGTTACTGATAGGCTGGCAAGATGGTTTAGTAAGTAGAGGTGCCTGTTTGTACAAGGCTGAAGACCTGAATTTGAATAGAAGGAAATGGAAACTGAAAGTTTTTCTATGATCTCCACACAAGAGCCAAGGCCATGTACTCTGCCCCCCCTCAATAGTAAATAAAAAAGTAAAAAATTAAAGAAAACAACAGCTAACAAAACCTTGGGGACCAGTAAGATTGCTCTCAGTAGGTAGAGGTACTTGCTAAGCAAGCCTGTAACCTGAGTTTTATCCTCAGAATCCATGTAAAGGTGGAAGGAGAGAACTGACTCCACAGTTATGCTCTGATCTTCACGTATGTACCATGACACTGTACACGTGTGCCTCCACATACATCACACACACACAATAATAATAATAAATACAGTAATTTTGGAGACTGAATAGATTGCTTGGTGGGTTAGAGTACTTATTGTCTGAGCATGAAGACTTAGGTTCAAATCCTCAGAATCTATATAAGAAGACTGGCATGGTTGTACACTCAAACCTGTGTCCCCAGCAGTGTGGTGGGGCAAAGAGGAGCATTGGGGTTTACTGACTAGCAGCCTATCTCTTGGGTCAGAGAGAGTCCATCTCAAGTGGTAAGATCGAGAGCAATAGAAGACACCCTACATTCATCACTGGAATTCATGAAACCACACACACACATGCACCTACTCACACATGTGAACCCACTCTTACACATACATACAAAATACAAAAAAGGAAAAATATTCTTTGCTATTTAGAGGTAAAAAGTTACCGTTATTCCGTGAAGCATCATTTTTCATGCAACTCGCCAGATTCCGTGGAATAGTAGCATTCCTTTCAGGGTAGAGGAAGACAAAGTCCATGTTCAAGTTCCAACATCACACCACCTTGCTTTGATTGTGCCACTGTAATGAGTCAAAACAACATTTCATAAGAACATATAAGATCCACAGCTGTCAATACAATGATGCATCCTTGTAATTGCAGCACTTGGGAGTTGGAAGCTGGAGAATCAAGAGTTCAAGGTCATTCTTGGTTATTCAGTGAGTTTGAGGACAACCTGGGCTACATGACATCCTGTCTCAAAAAAAAAAAACCCACACCAAAAAACAAGGTTCAAATCTAAGTAAAATGTGTGCCACTTATTAAAATACTTCAGCATTAGTCGTTAATATTGGTGGTATTAGGTATATTTAAAATCTTTCTTTTTGCTTCTCCATATTTTCTTCTTTTTATTATTTTATGTGTATGAGTGTTTTGCCTGTATGTTTGTCTGTATGCCACATGTGTGCAATGCAGTGCCCTTGGGTATATATGTACATGAGACAAAAAGATCACTGAGAAACAATAACTGTTCAGAGAAGACAAGTTTTTTTTTTTCTCTTTGGAAATGAATGTTGTGCACTGGATGAGACTCAGTATTTTATTTTATTTGTTTTTCGAGACCAGGGTTTCTCTGTGTAACAGTTCTGGCTGTCCTGGAACTCACTATGTAGACCAGGCTGACCTCCAACTCACTGAGATCCGCCTGCCTCTGCCTCCCAAGTGTTGGGATTAAAGGCGTGCACCACCAATGCCCAGCAGTATTTTAGTGTTTCTTTGACCTCGATCCTAGTCATGTCCATGCAAGAGCATATGTGAATTTATTACTTTTATTAAGTGCAAGACCAAAGGCAAATTGAATCAGATATCTGTATGTCTAACCCAGGGCCTTTGTGCCCTGATTGAAATCTCTGTTAAATCTCTATCTGTGTGTGTATTGACTTTTCCTTCTCAAGATAACTTCATCTGTTTTTTTCAGGGTGGGAGTAGTTAGGTCAGCACTTCCCTTAGGGAAATTTCCATTGTATCTAACAGTGACCTTGCTAGAATGACTGAGCTGGCTGCCTCTTTCTCTGGGGCAGCTTTTCCTCTCTCAAGTGTCCTTGGTGCCAAGGTGGAGGAGATGGTAAAAGCCTTCCTCAGGTGGGTTGAGCTAACAGAAAGGGGACATCTCCAACCAATATCCCACCCTTACTATGTCTCTCAAAGTGCTACAGAAGTGACCTGTTCATGGCTTCCACTTTTATGCTTTAAAACCAAAATGTCCTATTTGACATCAGAGACGTGCAATCTATTCCTTGCATTTATGACTTTCCAGGAAGGAAGTGCCAGAAGGGGAGAGAGGAAAGCCCACGCATAGAGCACAGGGGACTTCTATTGGCATTGTTGGTGGGAAGCCCACCTGGGGAGAGCTTTTCATCCCTAGTGTCTCAATCCTCAGAGTATCTCAATGCTTGCTTGTAATTTCAGTTTTGACCTATTAGGTCTAGAGCTTGCCCTAATAGGACATGACCTTTTGGGGCATACTGACTCAGTATGATGGTGACAGGGTTAAAGGTAGGTCAGGGTAGCTGGGAAAGGGACAGCCATTCCACTCATACAATTGCTGCCACCGACTTTAACGCCCAGTCCTCTGGTGCCTCGTATGTGAGATGATTGTCACCACTGTGAGGATTTGAGAAATAAACCAGGGAGACTAGTTCACAGTAAGCAGCTCTTAGTCCTTGTTAAATAGTTGCACTGAAGAATGTAGTCACTAGCACCATGTTGCAACTTAAACAGAAGTAAATTACATTTTCTTAGCAGTTCTAGCCCCTTTTAAAGAGGTTAATATTCACTTGTACCTAGTGGCACCAGGACAGAGCATTGTCGGTAGTGACATCATCATCATCATCATCATCATCATCATCATCATCATCATCATCATCATCACCATCTTCATCATCACCATCCAGTGATCATTATATTGGGAAATGAGGCTTCATATCATTAATATTGAGCTTTAGACAACAGCCAGGCATCCTTAGGGTTCAACAGAACTGTCTTCTTGTTGGGGACTGTTTACCAAGCAACATGTCTAGGAAAGTGCGCCCTTTTCTCACCAGAGATGAAAAGAAGTTGCAATTGTTTCCCAAATATGATAGCCTATGTGTGAATCAGAAAGGGCACAAAGTTTATGCCAAAGAACACCTCCAGGGAGGACTCAGAGCTCTCCACCATGAGCTAACCCAGACAACTACAGGAGGCATGGGGAGGGTTCTGATTATGTCAGCAAAGGAAACATTCTTCTGAGTAGTGTTTGGGGAAAAAACAACTAACTGGTTTCCCAAATAGATTTTCGTAAATAACTGACAGGAGATGGTCCTTGTCTATGGAAGTATTAACCCAGCTGATGAGTGTTAATTATTAAACCTTTTAGATGGTGGCTCGCTGATTTCTCTGCTCCCCTAATCCGGGTCACAGAATAGTTAAAGCAGCTTTAAGTGGAGAGTGGATTTTTTTTTCTCAGTCTGTCTTCTGTTTTCGACTCTGAAAGAATGTTGTGGCTGCTCCTTTTCCTGGTGACTGCTATTCATGCTGAACTCTGTCATCCAGGTATGTAGCCTTGAAACTTAAAAAGTAAATTAACAGCTTCCTAAATGCTTTCGAAGTCATTGAGTGAAAAACAACCAAAGGATTTTTTTCTAAGTCTGCAGACACGTAGATTGAAAGTTGAACCTATGAATCTTAGGATTTGAAATGTAAACGATTTAATATGATTTTCACCAAAGTTGCAGCGGTACTGGGGCAGATCAATTGTAGTTCTTTGTTATGTTCATCTGGGCTGTATTAAACACTAGTATTTATTGGCCCTGTTTTCTCAGTTTATCCTAATTTCCTGCTCTTTGTTGGTGTTGTTTTTTCTCTGGCAGATGCAGAAAATGCCTTTAAAGTAAGACTTAGCATCAGAACCGCTCTTGGAGATAAAGCAGTAAGTGAACACCTGCCGGTTCATTTCGGATTCTGTTTTCTACTAGCTTGGGGCTTTCTCTAATAATTGGCTTCTCTGGGTAGTGACCTTATCTTGAGTCTTTCAGTCTGATCTTTTCCCCAAGCTAGATTACAGTAAAATGGGACTCACTGATAGAATGGGTTTTCTTATAGTGCTTGATCAGTAGTCAGTGATTGAAAGGAGGTGGGAAAAAATGGTGTTGCATAAAATAGGTTTGAACACTTGAACATCTCAATCCAGTAATATGGAGCAAAGGGACGGTGTGATATATGTGTATTATGTCTAGGTTAAGTCTGTTTTTCACCATTGTGGGTGTTTAAATTCTACCAGCCTGTTTGCTAGTCATCAAAAAGAAAGATGGGTGCTACCAACAAAGAAATAGTTAACAGTACAAAATTTTCCAGTTCCTGTGCAAAGCTTCCATTCCTCCCAGCTATGAAAGTGACAGTATGAAAATTGTGCATATAAAAATCATAGAAGTTAAAAAATCCTCACAGAGCCTATAAGGGGTGGAAGAATAGTTGTATTGAATTAAGGAGATGCTATTGTCTAATTCTAGTGTCAGTTTCTCCGTGTGGTCTGCATTTTATTTTAAACTAGTAGGTGATATTAGTATCTCAAACTGCAAACAAACAAATCCCAGATAGCTAAAGGAATTCAGAGGTATTGTATTTGCCTTATTTTTCATTATTCATCTGAGAAGTAACCGTTGTTATGATAGCAAACATTTATTATGACATTGCTTTACTTTCTAGTCAGGACTGTTCTAAGTACTTGACTCCTAACAGCTTATTTACCCCTTATCCTCTTGTGTACATGCGTGCACATTCTCATAGAATGAGCGAAAACAGGTTCAAAGACATGTGATTGACAATCTCAAGCCAGTAAATGGCAGAAGTGAGATTCAAACACAGGTAGATTGACTGCAGGGACCCTACTCCCTACCAGTGTATAAGATTTCTTATCCCAGGATCCTTAGAGTTGGCTAGAAGCTGGGGTTGCAATGGCAGCTAACAATGGGCTTGTCTGTGCCCTGCGGACCTTATTATAGTGAGGGAATCACTTGTCCATTAAATACTCAGCAAGCCAAATGCAAATATGTCATCTTGAGAAGTATCACAAGAAGGAAAGGTGTACAGGGGCTCTGGTCTTAGCAGGAACCTCAGTACCAGATACTTCTGCAATGTCTAAAATAGCCACAAGCAGACATTAGAGCAGAGAAGAAGGAACAGCAGAGGGCCATCACCTATGAACATAGCAATTATCATGAGAAGGAGCTTAGTGAGCATGAAGGATGGGAGGTCTATGTCTGGAAATGAAGCTGTGAGGAAGAACATGGCATTTAAGGACCTTGAAAAAAGGGGACTGCAAGGGGAATTTGTGCTATGGTGGCAGGGTGTGTGTGGGGGTGGGTGAGGATGTTGTTTCAAGACAGAGGAACTGTTTAAAGCATCAAATGCTGTCGAGAGGCCAAACTCATTGTGTGAGGCAATCTGAAGGTCAATGAGGAATTTAGAGAGAGCTGCTTTATTTTTCAAGACAGGGCTTCTCCATGTAACAACCCTAGCTGTCCTGGAACTCACTCTATAGACCACGCTGGCCTCAAATTCATAGAGATCTGCCTGCCACGGCCTCCCAAATGCTGGGATTAAATCATGCGCCACTGCCACTTGGCTTGAAGGAGCTGTTTTTGTAAAGTGATGGAACTGAAAGTCAGATGTTGGAGGGGGTTAAAATAAGTAGGATAAGTTGGGGGTGAACATGCAGAAAATAGAGGTAACTTCTCTAAGAACTTTGCCTGGGGTAGGAAGGTGGGGTTGTACTTCAGTTGGTAGAGTGCTTGCCTAGCATGTGTAAGGCCCTGGGTTCCATATCTAACACCCTGTAAACCAGGCCTGGTAGCACTCAGGAGGTAGAGGCAGAAGGATCAGAAGTTCACAGTCAGCTGGGCAGTGGTGGCGCACACTTAATCCTAGGACTTGGAAGGCAGAAGCCGACAGATCTCTGCGAGTTCGAAGCCAGCCTAGTCTACAGAGCTATTTCCAGGACAGGCTCCAAAGCCACACAGAGAAACCCTGTCTCAATGCCCCCTATTCCCCAAAAAAGAAATTTGCAGCCATTCTTCATTACACAGTGAGCTTGGAATATATGAGGCTTTGTGCCAAAAGAAAGAGAAAAACAGAATTCTGGCTGGGAAAGGTTGGAGAGAGCTAGCAGTCAGAAGATCAATCAGAGCCATAGGTTTTCACTGTTGTTTTAGTGGGAACAAGTTGAGCATTAGTAAAGTCAGTGGACAGGCTCCGGCAAGACTTGAGTACACAGAAGAAACTGACACTGTTTCAAGCCCGAGAAGGGAGGTGGAGAAAAGCATTCCTAGCACACATGTGGAGATTATCCATTATCAGGAGGAAGGGGCTGGGATGTGTGTCAGTGGTGGAAGTTTTGTTTCTTTGTCTTAGTAGGAGGAGGGAGTTTAAATTGATAAGCTGAGACATTATCTATAAATTACAAAAGCAGGGTTAGGGATATAGCTTAGTGGAAGTTGCTTGCCAAGCAAGGGAAAAGCCCCAGGTTCAGTCTTCAGCTCTGTGGGTTGGAGGGACTATAAAACCCAGAGAGTCAAGGTAGCAGGGAAAGTGTTTGATTGGGGGAGGGGTGTAGGATTTGAAGATGTCTTGGGACACACAATTGTCTTGACACAAAGAACTTATGGAGAACTCTAAGAGGTGAGCAGGTAATTTGGGGGTAGGGCATCATAAATTTATAATTAAACAAGCCTTGTTTTGTGACTTTTAATCATTCAACTAAAATGTGAGGTGTCACATGTAGGCAGAAGTAAAGTGACACAGGATCTTGAGTCCTTGGAGACAAGGAATCAGAGATGACAGGTTCATACATGCAGCAAATATGCACCATGTGGCCTGTGAAGTCACAAGTGGACTCTAACAATACATTCAGTTTCATATATGTAGGTGTCTATATGCCAAGTATCTGGACCACAGGTATGTAAAGTGCTATGAGCCCTCTTGTACATGTCTCTTCTGAGTGCTATTTTGGTCTGTGGATATTAAGCCAGGATTGTAACTCTTAGTAACTCTCTCCTTATCCTTTCTTCAGTTGTACATTTTTTCTAATTACTATTATGTGTGGCTTGCTTTGCCTGCAAAGTGTCTCTGAAACACTGTGGAAGGTGGAGCACAGATGTGATATGAGTGATACACAAGCTTTTAGTCTTTTCCTCCACTCACGTTGGTTCTGTTGGCTCAATACCCAACACAAAGCAGCACTGCTTAGTCCCTTCCTGATCTCAATAGCTGTGAGCTTTACTCCATGGCCTAAACGAGACTGCTGCTGACAAAGCTCAAGCTCACTTTGTAAGAGACACTAAGGAAGCCTCTCCCAAGATCCAAAATGCAATTTAAAGCCATGCAGAACTTTGGCAAGTTCTGGCTAGCATTTCATTTTTGTTTGGCACACATACATTCTCATTTATACTTGAGCAGTCTCCTTTCCCATCTCCACATCCTCACAACAAGGCTTCCCACGTGTGTATAAATGTATACACATTTGTAATATTGTATATTAAATTATATGCACATGTAATATATATGTATACTTATCTTTTAAGTTAAGATTTAGTTCTATGTGCCTCTCTCTCTCTCTCTCTCTCTCTCTCTCTCTCTCTCTCTCTCTTTCTGTATTTGTGTATGGGTATCTATGGAGATCTGTAGAGTATGTCAGATTCTCCAGAGCTGGAGTTACAGGTGATTATGAGCCACCCAAAGTGGGTGCTGGAAACTGAACTCAGGTCCTCTGGAACAACACTATGTACTCTTATCTGCTGAGCCATCATCTCTCTAGCCTTGTATGTATGATTTTTATTAGACAAGGTCTCAATATGCAGTTGGGGCTGGCCTGGAACTCTATAAGGACCAGGCTGCCCTTGAGCTTGCAGCGATTCTGCTAGCTCTCCCCCTGGGTCCTAAGGTTATTGTAAACCTGTGCCATTGCTTGGCAAGTGGACAGGCTTTTTGTTGTTGCTGTTTTGTTTTTGTGATACCGGGAATTAAATTCAGGACCTCATGAATGCAAGGCAAGCATTCTACCAACCAAGCTATTTCTCCAGCCCTGATTAATGTTTTTCTGCTATTTTAACTGTACCAGTTTTTATTTATATTTTTGCTCAATTATTTTATTAGAATATATCATTTAAAAATGTCTATTGCCAGGTGGTAATGGCGAACACCTTTAATCCCAGAAGGCAGAGGCAGAGGCAGAGGCAGAGGCAGAGGCAGAGGCAGAGGCAGAGGCAGAGGCAGAGGCAGAGGCAGAGGCAGAGGCAGAGGCAGAGGCAGAGGCAGAGGCAGAGTCTACAGAGTGAGTTCTAGGAAGCCAGGCAACACAGAGAAAACCTGTCTCAAAAAAGCAAAAAAAAAAAAAATTAAGATCAAGGCACTGAAATAGTTAATACTTTTTAAACTTTCATAGTATAATATAAAAGAAAAAGTTAATATGAAGTAGGGAAAAGTGGGGATATTTGAGGAGTTGAAAAGAAGGGGTAGATTTAATTAAAACACATTACATTCTTGTAGAAACTACTCAAATAACATTTTTTCACATTACTTTAAAAAATCAAAGGAGGGGGGCCAGTAAGATAGTTCAGGAGGTGAGGGCACTTGCCATCAAGCCAAATAACCAGAGTTTAATCCTCAGGACCCACCCACATAGTGGAAGGACAGAACTGATACCCTAAATTATCCCAAATTACCTCAAATTATCTGATTTCTACGTGTGTGTGTGTGTGTGTGTGTGTGTGTGTGTGTGTGTGTGTGTGTGTGTGTGTATGTGTGTGTGCACAAAAACACACATGAAGTAAATAAGTACAAATGTAGTGTAAATATTTTTAAAAGATTGAAGGAAGGTAGCTGAGCATGATGATTTGCATCTGTAGTTCCAGCACTTGGGAGGTTGGCATTGTTGGATTGCTTAAATCTAGGAGTTCAAAACCAGCCTGGGCAATATAGTGAAACCGTTTCAGAAAAAAAATGAAAGAGTATTTCAGATAATGTCTGAGGTTGGCATTAAAATACAACACTTAGCGCTTGTACTCGACATAAAAAGAGACTGAGTTTTCTTCTTGATGGCATTTGACTGCAGCAATCTTAGGCAGTACTGAAAGAAAGGGGTAAAGTAGAAGTGCATGAAGAAAGTTCCAACACTACTGGTTAACTTATGGGGCTAGGGAGATGGCTCAGTGAGTAAAGAATCTACCATGCAACCATGGAGACCTGACTTCAGATCACCAGCAGTTCCCTCCACCCCCATACACAAAAAGCTTAGTGCTGTGGCAGATGTTGATGGGGGCCAAAGACAGGAGGCCCTTGGATCTTTCTAGCCAGTCAGTCTAGACAAAGTGGTAAGCTCCAGGTTCAGAGACCATGTCTCAAAATAAGGAGGAGCCAGGTGTGGAGGCACATATCTTTAGTTCCAGCATCTGGGAGGCAAAGATAGGCACATTTCTGAGTTGGGGACCAGCCTGGTCTACATGTCTAGTTCCAGGCTAGCCAGGGTTACATATCGAGACCTTGTCTGAAAACACAAACAAAAAATGTGGAGTTCAGTAAAGAAAGATACTCAATATCTATAACTTTTCATTCATACACAAATATGCTTATACATACACCACATATGCACCCACACAAATAAAATTAAGATACACAGACATTATGAAGGTACTTAGGAAAAAAGAATATACCCTTCTTGTCCAGGGAAGGTTACCAGGGAATACATTTCCTGCTGTTGTTTAGGATTATCTATTTTTATTTACAGTTCCTTCCTTACCATGAGAAGAGGACAAGAGCAGTAATGATAAAATACATTTTTTCCATTTCAGTATGAACCCAAATTCTAGCAATGTTCTTATGATATACAGGATGAGTTGTAGAAATATCAAGTTTGTTGACAGATTAGTGGCATTGCAGGGTCAAGAAAAGAGAGTACAAAAGGAAATACACCAAAATTGGAATTAAAAATGTGAGTTGCCTTGATCTCCAGTGGGGGGGGGAGAGAAAACAAGAAGGAAGGTGATTGGATGCACCACCAAATGGACAGTTTTCCCCCAACCCTATTCACTTCTACTTTCTTTTCCCCTTCTCTTTCAGTATGTCTGGGACACAGATGAAGAATATCTCTTCAGAGCAATGGTGGCATTCTCCATGAGAAAAGTTCCCAACAGAGAAACAACAGAGTAAGCCAACATCATGACATCTCACGTTTGAGATAATGCATTATTTCACATTTCTATCTTGAAAACAATTTAGTAACCACAAGATTTAAGGGACCAGTATTTCTGTTTATTTGTTCATTATTTATTTGACTATTTATTTGTGTGTGTGTGTGTGTGTGTGTGTGTGTGTGTGTGTGTGTGCATCATGGTGTGCAAGTGGAAGCCAGAGGATATCTTGTGGAAGTTGGTTCTCTCCTTCTACTGTGTGGGGGCAGGGGGTCAAATTCAGAATCCCAGGCTTGGCAGCAAATGTCTTTAATCACTGAGCCATCTCTCCAGCCCTTGCTTTGCTTTGAGACTTTGTATATAATCTTGCTTGGCCTGGAACTTGCTATGGAGCCTAGGTTGGTCTGGAACTTGTGGCAATCCTTCTGCCTCAGTCTTCCAAGTGCTGGGGTAACAGGCACGAGAGACCATGCCTGAGACCTGAATTTTTATGGAACATTTAAAAGAACTTTTTGCAACGGAGCAAAGATTATAATTTGTCATATTCCCTTTGTTCAACAGGTGATCTGACTATCAATGACCATGGTCAAAATTATAGTTGTATGTCTTTTATGTCACAAGCATTCTACATGTCCAGTGTACACATATAATTTTTCTTACAAAGAGCTAGGTAATATCAAAGAAATCTACCCTTCTTTAAAAAGTAACTTAAATATGGATAGACTATTTCTGCATTGGTATATATCAGAATATCTTGTTACTTTTCTTAAAAGTACTTAATATAAACTATTAATAGGGATTTTTTTGAGACAGGGTCTCACAATGTAGTCTTGGCCAGACCAGGCTAGCCTGGAACTCACGGAGATCTGTCTGCCCTGTGGGATTAAATGTGCTTGCCACTATGCCTGGACAGTTTTAATAGTTTTACTTTTGTTTCCCTGTTCTTCTGGAGGAACCTTCTCGGTGTATGTGCTTCTTCCCTTTTCTATTAGTAATTAGATTACACCCTAGTGGCTGTCTGATTCCTGCCTCAGTTGCCTCCAGTTGAGAGAAGAAATGACTGGTTGAGCTGGATGGAGTATCTGAGCATGGGTTCCCATTTCTCTGGGAGCAAGCTTGCCCCGTCTGCTCCCACCAGGCTTTCCTAGTAGAACTATCAGTCTGTGCTTGCTGTGTACAGTTAAGGAGCACTTAGATTGGAAGATGCCACATTGTACAGCCTGCTAAGTATCTTATGTATTGCCCAAGCAGGTGATTTTACCTAGGTCAGTTCAGCTCTACCAAAGGCAGTTATGGTTGAAATTATTTCGTTTCAGGATTTTTGTTGTTTTGAGACAGGGTCTCATATGGTCTGGACTGGCCTTGAATTCATTAAGTAGCAGAAGATGGTCTTGAACTCTTGATTCTTTTGTCTCAGCCTCCTGAGTACTGGAATTACAGGCATGCATCACCCACTTCTGGCTTTATTTCAGGACTTTTTTTTAAGAGTAGGAAGAAAATTTGCCTGGGGATTAAATAGCCTCCAGCTAACTAGTCTTTTTATCCTCACCCTCCCCCCAACTGCTTTACTAAAGAATTCCAACTTCTCAATAATTCAGAGCCTGGAGAAGAGGATTACTATCAGTTGATTTCTCTCAGATTCTCAATATCCAATGTGAGTATAAAAACTGAAAAGGAAACTGGGCATAATGACACACATCTTTAATCCCGGCACTCTAAAGGCAGAAGCCTTCGATCTCTGTGAGTTTGAGGCCAGTCTGGTTTATAAAAGGACTTTCAGGTCAACTAGGCCTACAGAGTGAAACCCTGTCTTATTGTGTGTGTGTGTGTGTGTGTGTGTGTGTGTGTGTGTGTGTGTGTGTGTGTACATAAGTGTACATGTGTGTGAAATCCAGGACTTGATATCAGGTGTCTTCCTGTCTTGTTCTTATTTTTTTCAACACTGAGCCTGGAGCTCAAGGATTGGCTAGATTGGCTAGCCAGCAAGCTCCAAGATACATTGCCTCTTTTGTCTTCCCAGCGCTAGAGTTATAGACACATGCCACCACACCCAGCTCTGCCAAGGGTGCTGGAGACCTGAACTCACGTTCTCATGATCGTGTGGCAGGTACTTTAACAATTAGGCTACCTCCCCAATTCTCACACATCTGTACTTAAAAATAAACATTCACAAAAGTTTTTTTTTAAGAAAATTTATAGAAAAACAAAATTTTGCCCTAAATTCTCTCCATTCTTTATCAAAATTTAATGAAAAATATATTTAATGACATTTTAAATTTCTTCTTTGAAAATATCACACACCTATGCACTGCATTTTGATTATATTCATCCATGATTGCTCCCCCCTTCCCTCCAGCATTGCAAGTTTTAAAAACAGAAATAAGAGAGATGGATAGAGGGCTCAGCAGTGAAAAGTGCACACTATTCTTGTAGAATACATCAATTCAGTTCTTAGCTCTCACAAAGGCTCTCACACTTCCTGTAACTCCAGCTCTAGAGGATCTGATGCCCTCTTTGGCCTCTGTGGGGACATGTGAACAACAATCACACAGACATACACACATAACACTATTAAAGATAAAAATAGATCTAAATAAAAACAAGGTGATCGAATTGCAAAGGTTCAAAAGGAAAGAAAGCACTTACTGTCTCATAGTGCTAAAATGAGTGTCTCTTTTGTTTACTAGCTTTCCCTGTCAGCAAGTTCTATACTTTGCTGTGTCCCTGGCACTGTGACTTACCCCATGTGCCTACATTTCATCTGCTTAATGACTCTGTGAGTTCAGGGCTAGCCTCCTTTAAAGAGAGAGTTCCAGGACAGGTAGGGCTATACAGAGAAGCCCTGTCTCAAAAAACCAAAAAGAAGGAAAAGAAATTGGAATTTCCCTAGGAATCTCATGTTGTGAGAAGGAAAAGGCACCAGTTGAGGGGGATGAGACTGAAGCCCAGACAAGGATGGACCAACAATAGTCAGGACCACACCTTAACAGAGACTGGCAGATATGCATATCCTTGAACTTCTATTTAAACTTTGATCTCACTTTGGGGCCCCCAAGATGGACTTTGGGGCTTTCCTGGATCTCTTTGTCTCTTTTCTAATGCGGCCATGTCCAATAAATCCCCCTTTCTGCTTTCCACTTTTAATTGACTCTTTCAATTGGCTTATTGAGGATAGCTGTTTGGGCTTGACTTGGGGCACAGGTCTGACTCTTTTTCCAATATCATTTAAGCCGGATTTACTGCAACAGGAATTCCAAAGTGTTCTAAGCTGTTTTCAACGATATGATGCAAAGTGTTCTAAGTTGTTTTCAAGGAAGCTATGATCTAAGTTTAGTCTAGTTTTCCGGCAAACAGACATTTAACTACATATTACACTAACAAGGCTTTTAAGAAAATTTATCACTTTTAGCAAGATAGGGAGAAGTCTGTTGAAGGCATTGCTTTCTCTTTCTAAGTAGCATAGAGCATGTAATGAATTTCTTGCTCTACTTAACTGTCCAAGGTTAAGTCTTGTGACCTAAAAAGGAACAATGTGTTCTTGTATCCATGGAAAGGTAAGGGGATTACCTGTCTCGTGCTTGCAGCCCAGCTCACTTTTAGTCCTGATTTTCAGAAACAAGAGCCTAATTCTTACCACCCGTTGGCTTTGTTTGGCCTCATTGATGAGAAATAACTATGGAGCCAATTTGCAGGGAATTGCCTTCGGGTCAGCATTTCATACATTTAAGGAGACCGAGGGAGTATTTGCAACTTCTTTTTAGTGAGTTGCTGAAAGAAGATATTCATGTAGATGTTAATATTGGTCAAGGACTGGAGAGATGACTCAGTGGTTAAGAGCACTTATTGCTCTTGTAGAGGATCCAGGTTCAGTTCCCAGCACCCACATGGTGGTTCGTAACTATCCATAACCCCAGTTACACAGAACCTGATGTCCTCTTCTGATCCCTATGGGCACCAGGGTGTGCATGGTAGTTAATCCCAAAGATGGGAGGAGAAAGACTACTGACCCAAATCATCATGGGCAAATTAATTAAAACAAGCATTTAATCAAAGCAAGCTTTTTAAAAACATCACACACCTGGGCTGCCTCCCTCTAAGGCAGGGTTCCAGAGGTCAGCATTGAATGTGAGGAAGACAAGGCTTTTACAGCTCAGGGGTTGGGGGTTTCCAAATGGAGGATTTGACTGGCAAAATTGGTGGGCTCACAGGAGCAGAGCATAAGCACAACAAGTTAGTCCTAATGAGCTCCTGAAACAAAGACTTGGTTAGAAGGTGGGCATAACAAGGTAGCCATTGATGTGAGATGTCCTTCTGTATACTGTGAATGTGTTGCTTTTATTGGTTGCTGAATAAATCTGTTTTGGCCTTTGGCAGGGCAGAATATAGCTAGGTGGGAAATTCAAACAGAGATAGACAGAGAGAAAGAAAGCAGAGTCAAGGAGATGCCATGTAGCCACTGAAAGGGTAAGATGACAGAGCATTACCAGTAAGCTATGGCCATGTGGTGATACACAGATTATTAAAAAATGGATTAATTTATAAAAGAGAACTAGCCAGTAATGAACCTGAGCCATTGGCCAAACAATTATATTTAATATTAGCCTCTGAGTGATTATTTCATAAGCAGCTGCAGGGACCAGCGAGTGGGAGAGAAACCAGTCCGGTGGGACAGAGAAAAATGTTCAGTTACAAGTCAAAGCAACAGGTAGTCATAACAAGGTAGACATAGGTGGTCATATAACCTTTTGAAACAAAGGCATGATTGCCATTCCTAGGACAGGCAGTACAGAACCATTTGTACTTAAGATTACAGGTGGAGCATAGTCCAATCCCTGAGAAACAGAGGTTTAATCATAAACAAGAATGAACCTAGTTTGTCTTTACTAAAAGATGGCTTTTATGCCAAAGATGGAGGCAGGCTGGTTCTTTAGTACACACAGACATTCATGCTGGCAAAACGCTTAAAAGAAAATCAGGCTGGGCAGTTGTGGCACACACTTTAAATCCCAGCACACAGGAGGCAGAGGCAGGCAGTGAGTTCCGAGGCCAGCCTGATCTACAGAGTGAGTGCCAGGACAGACCCATCCGTTTTTAAAATTTCTGAGATAACAGGATTTGTATTTAGTTGTGATAAAATTGATTCAATTTGATTTGTTTTATTTTTTTGAGACAGGATTTTTCTGTGTAGCCCTGGCTGTTAATGGCAAAAGCCATTAACCACTGATCCCATTCTCCAGCTCTTATCCTTTTGTTAAAAATATGTCGTTCTACTTCAAAGGTTTCTAACAAGTGATTATTTTGGCCTTCGGAGGATGTTTTTGCAATATCTGGAAGCTTTTTTGATCATCACAACTGGAAGCTAAGAAGAGGCCAAGTTTGCTGCTAAGAGAATATGCACCCCTTCTCCTCAATTATCTGGCTTGATTGTGCTGAGTTATTTCTTTCTAGTAGTATTCCTTTGATAACAGGTGTCATATTTATTTTATCCATGCCTCTTTATTGATGGACATTTACATTGTTCCAATTCTCTGCTTCAGTGAAGAGTGCTAGCAAGACTATCCTCATCAGTGACCCTGTTTATTGTGTGTGCATGTAAGAATTTCTGACAGTTACACTCTATCCTTCTAGAAAATACTTCCAAATAATGATCCAGAGGGGCTCGACCCATTGGCTTTTTCATAGCTTCTTGAGATTTCATTTCTACACACCTTGCCAGTCCTTGGTATTTTTTAAATTTAAACTTGGGGGAGGGGGTGGACAGATGGTTCAGCAGTTAGGAGCATTTCCTGCTCTTCCAGAGGACCTGAATTAGGTTTCCCCGAAGTTCGCAAGTGCCTGCAACTCCAGTTCCAGGTGATCGAACACTATCTTCTGGCCTTCGAAGGTACCTGCTCACAAGTACATACACTCATCCAGACACATAAATAAAACTGAAATAATCTTTAAAAATGTTTAGCAATTTGAAAAGTTTAAAGTAGCTCATTTAAAAACCATTTTTACAAATTTTGATTGTTAGTGAGGCCAACTAAATTATTCCCAACCTAATACAGACTGCAAAAATGAAAAAAGAAAAGGTAGAACTACATTTCCCTAGTTCACCCACCTAAAATGGACATATTTTTTTGGAAAGCATGCTTTACTTCATTTTGGTCATATTTGTATCTTTGTTACTTTATTATATAGAGCCGCACATGTTGGAATACTAAGCTTGCCAGTTTCTTGCCAGTAGAGGTCAGAATTGGTTTGTGGTTCTCAGCCAGTGCTTCACTATTTATTTATTTATTTATTTAATTTATTTATTTATGACTTCTTACTCCAGTGAGTATTGAAATGCCTGGAGACACTGTTGCCTATTGCTTGAGAGCCCAATTTGCTGCTTCCCTTAAGATAAAATATATAATATGGCCCAAAACCTCAGCAGTGCCACTAGCAGAAACCATGATGTGTCCTGGAGAGAAAGAATAGATAATCTAAAAAAAAGATGATAAACTCAAGGATAATTAAACTCTTTTTTTTTACTCTATAAGAACAAACAGTTACACAAAGTGGGCACACTGGGTGTTTGGTCCCAGGGAGATGGAAGGAGTGGGTTGGCAGGGGAAAAGGCAAGGTTTTGATACCAGCAAGGTCTCCACTGTGGGATCCTTGGGACAAGGGAAGGTTACCAGTGAGGCCTACCAACCCTAGAGTTAGGAAACGGTCAGTAAGATGCAAGGGCTGGGGCCTTGAGTGTGAAGAGGCAGGACAGTAACTCTCTATTGGGCCAAGGAGATCAGCAGAGTGGGTGCACTCAGGGGACAGGGGCCCACTTCAGGTTGCCAGGCCCCTGGCAACATCGAATCTGCTTTTAGCTGTCCAGCAGAAGCTCTGAGAGGAAGGGACCCTAGATATGTAGCTGGTTGGCCAGTTGAGTGAAGGCTGAAGGCAGCTCACAAAGATGTTTGTCCTGAAGCAGGGCTTCTGTTCAGAGGCCTCGGCCTAGGCGGGAAGGGCCAGGACACTATTTCTGGTGACCAGCTTGAAGGCAGATGGCCTGGTCTTGGGGCTTTGCTTCCTTCTCATAAGGCTAGCATGATCAGTCCTCTGGTGAAGCCACAGGGGCAGCCTCTGGGGACCACAGCTTAGAGTTGGAACAGAGTTGGTGGCTTTCTGAGTACTCTGGTGAAGGTGAGGCAAGTGGACCTGGAGTCAAAGGTCCTGATCGCCGAAGTCAATTTCTGGGCCTGAGGTGGGTGGGGTTGTCCCTGCTTTCTGGCAAAGTGCCACTGCTAGGCCCTCTGCCCACCTGGATTTGTGTTCAGGTGCCTGAGCAGGTGCTCACTTAGTTGTCCATCTCAGGAGGGAGGAAGGAGGGAACTTTTTTATTTTTTATTTTTATTTATTATGTATACAGTGTTCTGCCTGCATGCCAGAAGAGAGCACCAGATCTCATTACAGATGCTTGTGAGCCACTATGTGGTCTCCCACAGTGGAGACCTTGCTGGTATCAAAATCTGGGACTTGAACTCAGGACCTCTGGAAGAACAGCCAGTGTTCTTAACCTCTGAGCCATTTCTCCAGCCCTGGTTTGGTAGACTTTAAGAGGATAGTCTCCCCACATTTGAGGATTTGGCCAGCGAAGCACACAGGACTGACTGAAGGGACTGATGGTTGGGCTTTGAGCATAAGCAAAATATAAAGAAGGCCAGGGAACCTCTGCCTACTTGACTGGCCAGGATGGTGACCACAGACACGATGTCAGCAGGGGCTGCTACTGTTAAGAGCAGTGATTCTCAACCTTCCTAATGCTGTGACTCTTTAATACAGTTCCTAATGTTGTGGTGACCCCCAACCATAAAATCATTTCCATTGCTACTTCATAGCTGTAATTTTCCTCTGTTATGAATTGTAATGTAAATATCTGATATGCAGGATATCTTATATGTGACTAGTGTGAAAGGGGTCACAACCCAAAGGTTGAGAACTACTGGCTTTGCTTATAAAGGACATAAATAACACTATAATGTTAGGATCTCTGTGGGCCATACCTGAGCTAGCTAATACCAGGCCACTGCTCTCTGACTGGCAAAGGGTCCACTTTGAACCTCTGCCTTTAGCCTCCCACCCTCCAGCTCAGTACCTGCTGGCAAGAGGCCATCACGAGGTGCAGCAGTGGCTGGAAGTGATGCTGCCTGGAAGACCAAGAAAGTTTATCCCCTGTGCTTTCCATTGCTGGTCCCTGACACTTGGGTCTGGGCAGAGGGGAACTTGCTTCTACTTTTGTGCCTGACACTGAAAGGAAGAAAAGAGACAACTTCCTACACATAGCCATTGGCAGAAGAACTGCTAACTTTCAACATTACAGGCTTGAATATTCTTGTAAAGGAAAACAAGATTCTGGTCTTTTCTGTGAAGGTGACTGATGTGTGTCTCATTCTTGTGGGATGGACAGACATGACACATGTTCATGCTTTTGCAATTTTCTTCTTTAGAAGATGGCCAGCAGCACGCAGGATTTACGTTTTAGCACCAGCCTTGTTGCTTTTATGTGGTCCCTCCTATAATTTGCAGCTTTCATCCACTCTTGTAAAGATTTTAATTTCTTTGAACACTAAGGTCATTTTTCTTTTCACTTTTATTGGTAACCCATACGTAAAGAACAGAGGGTGTCACATTTCCAATTTGCAGGTGAAAGACCACAGGGCCAAGAGTTACTACTGGTGATTGTAGCACTTATGTTTGGGGGCCTGTTCAAAGTGATGTAAAAATAGGTTGCTCTTCTTGTGACCTTTATCCTTGAAACTACATTGGGAAGGCACTGCTTGATGATCCCAATGCCAGAATAGGGAGAGGCAAGTAGAGATAAAGCAAGCATTGAATGAAGAATAGGCGACAGCTTTTGTTGGGAGGGTGACTGGACAGGACATCTGCAGACTTGAGAAAACATGGAGGCTTCTGTGATTGAGACAGAGGCCACATGCTGAGGAAGCAGAGAGGCTGTTAGCCATTTGGTTACGAACAATGGTCTCCACTCATTCTTTCTAGTGCCAGATCACACCTTTGTTTTTGGCAGATCCTTCAAGGAATGATCCCTGATTATATGATTTTGAGATGATTGGATCTTCTATGCAATTTTCATTGTTTTTTTTTTCTGAGACAGGGTTTCTCTGTGTAGCCCTGGCTGTCCTGGAACTTACTCTGTAGACCAGACTGGTCTCAAACTCACAGAGATCCACATGTCTCTGCCTCCCGAGTGCTAGGATTAAAGGTGTCCCACCACCGTCTGGTGAAATTTTATCTGAAACATTCTTTCCAATGATAGAAATGACTTCTCCCACATATCTATATCTAAGATCCCTCATTAAATGGTAATCACATCAGAGTGTGAAGAGTTTCCTGCTGTTTGTGATGCTATTCTTGTAACATGTCGTCTCCCCCTCCTCCCCGTTCTCTGCAGAATTTCCCATGTCCTGCTTTGCAACGTAACCCAGAGGGTATCATTCTGGTTTGTGGTCACAGACCCTTCCAAAAATCATACTCTTCCTGCAGCTGAAGTACAGTCGGCCATAAGGTAACCATCCCCACATTTGCTGTCCACTGATACATCAGCCTGCTGATGAAATCAAATGTTTTCATAGACACTGAAGAAATCTCACTCCACTCCATATACGATGCATTGATTAAAGTGCCAAGTGTTCCATTCAGTTCATTTTCATCAGAGATTAGTGTAGATGAGTAATGTTCATCCAGAAGCAATTTGCCTTCAAGGAAACAAATGGTTGGCAATGTTTGGACACATTTTTCTTGTCACAACTGGAGAAGGAGGCACTACCCATACTAAGCAGGCAGGAGCTAGGGATGTTGCTATCCACCCTGCTATGTACAGGACAGCACTCCCTCAAAAAATTACTTGACCTCAAATGTCAATTTGCTGTGATTCAGAAATTCTTGTCTAAATCCTAACTAAGAAAGAGTGAAGAGCCAAACCCAAATAAGTTGCTATCATATGTATAGTGATTTTTAAAAAATTGACTTAAACTTTATTAGTGTATATTTATTATACAAAGTAATGGGTTTCACTGGATATTTTTATACATGTAGATGACCTAATATGATCATAGTCACTCTACTCATTGTCATTTTCATGGTAATTTTAAAATCTATACCAGAGTAGTCACATGCATGGAAAGAGGTGTGGACATGAACAACCAGTTCTAAAATGTGTGTTATAGCTCTGTTGTAAAGACTGGAGTAGCTCATCCCAGGTCTTGGTGAAAAAAATATCTAGGGTGTCTGATCCCTAGGGAAGTATTCCAGTGGTGGAGGTGATATTATCTGTACCTGAACTGAACTTCCAATCTATCTGAGAGGCAACAGTATGTTCCTGGTGTGGACCAAGATAGCAGCAAAGGGCTAATCAAGCAGGGAGATGGAGTGAGGGTGCAGATAAACTTTTCATGGCCCTTCAAGTCATAGCTTAGCAATGATGTTCATTATTTGGGAAAAGGTGTTCATTCTCGTACTTAATCAAGATTGGATTTCGAAGGTTGAGGAGATGGTTCAGCAAATGAAGCACTTGCTATGAAGCATGAGGACCTGAATTTGGATCTCAGAATCAACATAAAACCAGCACAGTAGCCCATGTCAGTGATCCTAGGGCTCCTATATCAATATGAGAGGCAGAAGCAAGGGGATCTAGGGAAGCTCATGGGGCAGATGGCCTGGCATATCTTGTGGTGAACAACAAAGTGACCCTGTCGCAAAGAAGATGATGACAACTGACATCTGAAGTTGTTCTCAATAACCTCCTTCAGGTGCATCTGGGGTACACACATTCCTAAACACACACACACACACACACACACACACACACACACACATACACACACACGCTATAAACACACTGATGGCCTACTGTTGATCTGCAGAGATTCTCAAGCCACTGCTTTAGACCAGGATTTCCCAGTCCTGAAGCTGCCAGCTAAATATGCCTACCGAGCATTTGAATTACAGCTAGTTCCAAATGGGGTGCATACTAAGTGAAAAGCATACCAACTATCAAATAGTATTAAACAAAATCGAAATCAACCAAATATTGGTGTTTTGAAATTATATTTTATTTGATATATATTGGGGAGATATGCAATTATTACAATTTTTCTATTTCTTTACACTTAAAAAACAAAACAGCTATTAGAGCTGGGTATGGTGGCACATATCTTAAACCTAACACTGGGAATTCATTGCCAGGCTGGTCTACATAGTGAGCCCTGAGCCAGCAAGGGCTGTATAATGAGACCTTGTCTCAAAGCAAAACACTAACAACAACAATGCAGCTATTGAGAAATTTTATTACACACAAGTCTCATGTTCTGTTTTCTATTTGTCACAGATACTCTTAAGTATAGATGAGGTTTGCCTGTGTAAAGAGTAAAGGCCATAAATATCTCTAAGGGGTTGGGGAGATGGCTCAGTGGCTAAAAGTGCTTATTGCTTTTGCTAGAAGACCTGAGTGTGGTACCCAGAGGTCATATGGCAGCTTAGAAGCATGTACAACTCCAATTCTAGGGGATCTGATGCCCTCTGAGGACTCCTGCATGCATGTGGTCCTCAGAGGGCCTCCCTGCCACACACATTAAACCAACCAACCAACCAACCAACCAACCAACCAACCAACCAACCAACCAATAAATACAATGGCTCCAAGAACTCTCTTCAACTAGATTTACAAATTCCAAATAAAGATGAACCTTTTTCTCAGCTAAAGAAATCTTCACTACCAACCTGATTGTTACCAGCACTCAAAATGCAGATCTCCCTTCTCCTAGGAAAACAAACACATTTGCCTTCATATACCTTTAGACGTTTGGACTCCTGAATGACCATTGTGTATACAGAAGCTCTTTTAAATATTTTAATTTAAAGAAATGTCTGTTATTTATGTAAGCCACCTTAAATAGAGGTCTGTTATTCATTCAAATCTAGATGATATCTCTCAAGAAGTAAAACTGGGGGCAGGAGCTCAAAGGTCATGATTTATGTCCATGGAGAGGCGACCTGTACTTTGTTTCTAATGTTTTTATTTCTGTCTTACTTCATTTTTAAAATTATCATTGTCTTTTAGAATGAATAGGAACCGGATCAACAGTGCATTCTTTTTGGATGATCATACTCTAGAATTCTTAAAAATTCCTTCCACTCTTGCACCGCCCCCGGATGCATCTGTGCCCGTCTGGATTATTGTGTTTGGTGTGATATTTTGCATTGTCGTAGTTGCAATTGCACTGCTGGTTCTATCAGGAATCAGGCAACGACGAAGGTAAGATGTTTAGAGGGAATGATTAAAGGATTATTTGTGTATTTTCTTATGACTGGTTTAAAGTACTGTCTAAAACTTACAAAAGTCATGACTTACAAAATGACTATCATAATTTTATCTTTTGATGTTTTTAGACTCCAGTGTCTCTTATTTAATGAGGTCCCTTCCATTACTATCTTTTTTCTTCTTTTATTCCATTCTATTCCCTTTATTATTGTATGCTCTTTATCACGCTCTCCCTCTCCCTTTCCCTCCCCCAGTGTGTGTGTGTGTGTGTGTGTGTGTGTGTGTGTGTGTGTGTGTGTGTGTGTGTGTGTGTAGGTCAGAGAGGACAGCTTTATGCAGTCAGTTTTCTCCTTACCCCGAATGTGGGCCCCAGGGATCAAACTCGGGTCACCAGGCTTGCATAACAAGCACCTTTACCTAATAAGTCACCCCACTGGTTTTCCTCTGTTGTATACTATGTGGCTGCCTTGTATCCAGACTTGAGTTTAGTATCTGTGTTCTACTTTCCTTTCTGTTGCTGTGATAGAACACTGACCAAAAGCAACATAGGGGAAGAAAGGGTTTATTTCTTCTTTCAGATTATAGTCCATCATTGAGAGAAGTCACAGAAACTCACAGGCAGGAACCATGGAGGAATGGTGTTTGCTGGCTCACATTGTGTCTCTTTCATAGGCTCATGCTTAGCTAGTTTTTTTCCCCCAAGACAGAGTTCCTCTGTGTAGCTTTGGCTGTCCTAGAACTTGCTCTGTAGATGAGGCTGGCTTTGAACTCATAGAGATCCACCTGCTGATGCCTTCTGAGTGCCGAGAGTAAAGGTGTGCACCACCATCTGGCTTTTAGCTGGCTTTCTTTCTTTCTTTTCTTTTTTTGGTTTTTTGAGACAGGGTTTCTCTGTGTAGCTTTGGAGCCTATCCTGGCACTCGCTCTGGAGACCAGGTTGGTCTCACACTCACAGAGATCCGCCTGCCTCTGCCTCCCGAGTGCTGGGATTAAAGGCGTGTGCCACCAATGCCCAACTAGCTGACTTTCATATACAGCCCAGAACCACCTGCCTGACGAATGGTGCTTGCCAGAGTGGGCTGAGCCTTCCCACATGAGTTCATAATCAAGATTGTCCTCACAGACACGAATACCCACAGACAAACCTGATAAAGGCAATTCTTCAAGTGAGGCTTATCCTCTCAGGTGACTTTGGGCAGTGTGGAGTTCTGTGCTGTAATTTTGTAAGCTGGACACACAGAGAAAAGCACCATTTTGGCTTGGCAGACTTCATCTTTTGGTAGTAATCAAGGGCAAATGCCCAGAGTTGCACAGATGTTTCAGGGACTCCTTTGTTGGCGCAGGGCCTGTAGGCCGAACTCCTGTTCCAGATTCTTTGGCTGGGCCAGCCTTCTCTTCTACTAATGGGTACTGGCCCCTTGTGTGTCTGTCTTTGTAGAGTCCTGTTGCTTACAGCTTTTGAACCAACTGCCTGAATCAGAATCATCTGAATACTTGTGCCATTTCTGTGGCTGACTCGGATTCACTAAATTCGAATATTTGAAGGAGATGCATTTTGATATTGTCCAGGTTGTTCTAATTTATTTAATTTTCAGATGTTCAATTCACCAGCTTACATTTAGGGCCCCACTTCTTGAGTTCATTTTCTTGCATTCTGTAAGACAAGCTATAATGCCTATGTTATTGACGGTGCTACAAAACAGAATTTCGGATCAATGACAGTTACTGATGTAGCAGTAAGGAGAGAAGACGAAATTTCTTAGCATGATGAAACAAGAATGTGTTTTGGGGTGTAAGTATCTCTAATTTAGAGAGGAAGATGAAACTTCCTAGATTTAAAAAATATTTTTATGATTGTAAATTATGTGCAAGTGTGTGTGTGGGGGGGGTATGTGCTCATGAGTGCAGAAGCCTTAAGAGTCCAAAGGTGTTAGATCCCGGTGAAGTTGGAATTCTAAGTGGTTTGAACCACCTGATGAGGTGCTGGGAATCAAACTTCGGTCCTTCCATCAAGCAGTGCATGTTGTTAAAAGCTGAAGCATCGCCCAGCCCCCTACCTTAATTCTTCTCCAAATCTGTCAAAACCTATCTAAACATACCTTTCTGATACAAAGACAAAAATTCTGTGAAGTGGCCCTCATGGGGACGTGCATTCTAAAATCACAGGGGTATGGTTTGCGAAAGGATTGATAGACAGCTGGGATGTGGGGTGTGTTTGATCAAGTATGTATTGGATTAAATGCCTTTCCCCAAGTTTACTACTTCCTTTGTGTTTCCCTAATTACTAACAGAAGCATTTTCAGTTTCAAATATTTCCATTTTTCCCACAAGTGATAAAAGAAACACTTTGGTATAAATGTGATAAATACCTATGCTTTAAACTGTGCCCAAAGATTAGGATCAATTGGTACTTGCTTGATTTTTCTAGGTGATCATGACATGAAATGCCAACTTCTATGCTACGGGGCATGCATTTGTTTTGGGTTTTAGAATATCAAGCCACATTCTCTTGCAATGTTTGAAAATCATTGTTTAGTACTTTAAGGTTTTGTGTTCATTCTGAGATGGTTTCAAATGATGTGAAACCTTTGTGAACTGACGTCATTTGCTTGATTCCCAATTTCCTTACTAGTAGGATATAATGCAGGAGTTAAAAGAATGGATTCAGGCAATAAACTGCCCAGGCTCAAAGTATTGATCTCTTAGACTATGCTCTCACATCAAACCCATTAGCTGTATGAAAGTACAAACAAGGAGGCAGGGCAACTGAGTTTGGGAGGAGAAGATGGCTTTGTGGTCCTAGAGTCAGTCATTCTGGTTACATTTACCTTTGCTGGCTGCATGTAGATACCTTTTCTTGACTGATAAGCTAAGTGTGCTGGAAATATTTAACTTGATAGGATAAAAGACTCTAGTATAGGAGAGTGCTCAGAGTGGTATCTGGTATACACTGAGTGCTCAGCAAGTGTTAGCTGTTACTATTATTTTATTATCATGCCATTTGCTGGTCTTTCAGTTGTTTGTGATGGGATCAGCTATTTCCTTCCAAACAGATTCTGCAGTAATATAATAATTGGCTGGGTAGCATCATAATCTGTTGCCTGGGAGAAGTGAGGCTGTTGTTACAACTCTGCCTTCACAAATTCAGTTCACATCCAAACTATGAAAACAGATGAACAAATCTTTTCTGTAAACCTGGAAAGTGTCAACAATGATCAAATACAGTCAGCACAATTAAGATGGCCTCCTAGAGGGAAGTTGTTTATGTGTTTTAAGTTTAATACTAGCTGTGGTGGTTTTCCTCTTTGGCAAAACATTGCTTCAAAGATGAGGAAAGAGTACAGTTTGAAGTGTGGAGTGCTTGTCCATTGTCTTGAGACAGGCTCTCATGTAGCCCAGGCTGGAGGAGGACCATGAACTGATCATCCTGTCTTTGCCTCCCATAAACTGAGATTACAGGTATGCGTGACCATGACTGGTCTGAAAACTCGTTCTAATCATAGAAAAGTTAGGGATTGTTTTTCGAAGCTTTGAGGAAGAAAGCTAATGAAATGTTCAGCTTGGGCCAGCAGAGAAGGCTCATCAGGTAAAGGTAAATGTCCTGAATTTCATCCCTGGGACGCACATGCCAGAAGAAGAGAACAGACTCCTACAAGTTGTCTTCTGACCTCCACATTTATGCCATGGGGTGATTTAGCATGTGGGCATGCTTGCACACACACACGCACACACACACTAAATAAAATGATGTAATAAAAGCTTTTTAAAAGAATAAATGTTTAACAAATCATCCATATGTTAAACAATAATGAACATGGTTGTTGTGTTTCTATGTGGTCATTTAAGCTACTGTTCTGCTTCTATGGAGAAGCATGCCAAAGTAGTCTAAGATGGATGCATAGTTAGACTTACGATTGAGGAAATGTCTCAAGCAAGGCTTTAATCTTTCTGTTAGTTTTGTTAATGACAGCATTATGATGACTATTCAGAACTGCTGGGTTGGGTGAGCTAGAGGTCAAACTAGGTAAATTCAAATACTGTGTCACTTACATATGTAAACTTGATCAAGCCACCTAATTTCCACACATCTCAATTTTCCCACCTACAATAATTATGTAGATCTTACAACTAGTCCCCCCTTTTGATGTCTTTTTTGTGGGGGTGGTAACCCAATGAGTTTCATTGGGGTTGTTTACGGTGATGGGTTATTTACAGGAGCATCAGCAACTTACCAATGGCTATACCACTGAGGAAATTATCTCTCCCTCCCCTAGCAACCCTTAACTGTGTGTAAATCTTCAGTGTGTAAACCTTCTGAGGCCCTCCTAGATATGTACATTTCTTAACACAGCAAGGAAAAACAATTAGCATGGAAATATCTCATTTGACTTACACTTTTATTTGTAACACAATTTACAAGAATGTGATTTTTTTGTGTTTTTTTTTTTTTGAGACAGGGTTTTACTATGTAGCTCTGGCTGTCTTGGAACTCACTTTGTAGATCAGGCTAGCCTCAGACTCACAGAGATCTGCCTACCTCTGCTTGGATTAAAGGTGTGTGCCACCAAAGCCCGGCTTGAATGTAAAATTGTAATATGTGATACTACTGAGAAGATTACAGCTTTATACAAGAAGGAGGATTTATAGAAATCCAAACACACTCTGATTTGCTACTGAGCTTCCAGGAAGAGTAACCAGAAACAAACCAAGCAAATTTAGTAATGACTCTGCTCAGTGTGAACATTAGCTAGGGTTCTCTATCTTAAGTCCTTGGCCTGGCTGCATTACTAAGAACAAGACAATGATTGCAGTGTAGGCAGGGCCCATCTGCATTACCTGTGTTCCTGTCTTCTGTGATCTGTACGAAAGCTCCTATCATAGACTGAATGATCAATAAAGAAATAAAAAATACACATGCAGTAGGAAATTAGTGTGTTTTGGGTAAAGCCTGGTGCATCAAAAATAGAGTTCTAGGCCAGTCAGTACATATATTT